TTGCAAATTTTCACTGTCACTAGGATTTGAACTCTAGACCTGCCACTTGGGGGTTGACAACCTATTCACTTCACTAGGTCGCCACACCCCCAATTTAATCAATTTATTTAATTGCAATTATATAAAATACATATTAATATTAATTATATAATTTAACTAACCCTTCTATGCTTTATATGTTCAACAATTCTTTTAATATCATCATTGCTGTATTCTGAAAAATAATTTGCTGTAAAACATCTGGCTTGGTCAATTGCTCCAACACCAACTTCACTAAATATATTAAATATATTTTATGCCTTATGTATTATTTAATGAAGATTGCCTATTATCATTTAACAACTCATATAAGGTAACATTGTGTTGTATATTTGTGTACAAGCTGCTCTATTCTTTATGCTCTTACTTATTAATTCCATTACTTAATTCTTGAAAACTTCAGCATAATCATACTATTTCCTAATTTCTATTAAATTAGACTTTTTTGATTTCTTTTTAGCTTGTTTTGCAATATTAAATAAATTGACTAAAATTTGACCTGTTGTTTGTAGACTTCAACTAAGCTATCTTCAGTTCTATTAAAAGTAATTAGAACCTTAACAACTTCTGTTATTTTTTTTGATACTTTTGATCTATGTGGCTTTTTTAATAATATCAATGATGATTTTAATATATTATTTGCAAACTTATTTTCCTAAATCAAAATTAAATTTTTTTTTTTTTGGTATTAAGATGACCTCTTTGGTCTTTTGACTTTTATTAATCACTTATTGGTATTGTGGTTCAATGAATCACTACAAGAGAGTATACAATTGGCTACATGTATAACTTTTTTATATTACCTATTTAAGAAGTCTGCCTGAAGGTTTCCTACTAATTGTCATATTTAACACCTCTGCTTGGATATTCCACTTTAAACCCTCTGAACCTGTAATCTGTGTTAACATCACTGGATTATTCCAGATGTCCAGATTATCATCTCAACCTTAGAACTAATTTATCCTCAAGATAAATCCCCCAAAGCCTTTTGTACACATTTTTACAACTGACCTAAATGTCACTATAGCAGAACTAATACTTGCAGTCAGGGCTGACTATTAAACCACTATGCCCTTGTAGAGTTTACACAAACCTCAGCATTTACTTCATAGCATATCTGAAATACTTTAGTATATCCCTGCTGGTTCACCAAACTCCTAATTCAGATAGCCTAGTAGGACTTACGACTGGTCTATTAGTATATTAGATCAGCCCAATATTTTTTTTCTTTGGCTCGATCTGGCAGTTTGGTTGGTTGTACTCTCCACCTAGAGGTTTTTGCCTGTCTGGCTACTTTGATCTTGGTATTCATTTTATAAGACTAGCCTTTATAGTAGAGCTGTCGAAAATCTGACTACCTCTTTATTTGGGTTTTCCCAAATGGACTTTTTGTTACCTAATTTTAACAGATTTACATGATCACAAAAACTTATCTAGTGTTTGCACTGCCTAATTGCTAGTTTGTATTCCTTCATATAACTACAACCTTGTCCCTAAGGACAATGTCATGTGACCTGTTACACAAATGCCCCATGACCTACCAGTCATGCTGATGTGACCACTATTACAGGTATCCTAACCCAATCGTTAATAACAATTGCTATAATACAAATATTACATAGATGATTATCCAAATTTTCATCATTGATAAGATTTGAACACCCAACCTACTACTTGGAAGGTTGACAACCTGACCACTTCGCTAGGTTGCCATACCCTTAAATCAAAATTAATTTTCAATATACATTTCATAATATGAATATTATATAACACTATATAATAAATTTTAATAATGCTAATCTGTTCATTAGTTTGTCTATTGACTTGTGCTTGTCTGCTATATGCTTACCCACCTTGTGCTTGCCTTCTATTCCTTGTCTGCTATTCACTTGCCCATCTTGTTCTTGCCTGCCATTCATTTGCCCACCTTGTGCTTATCTGCTTTATGCTTGCCCATCATGCACTTGCCTATCATGCGCTTGCTTGCCTTGTGCTTGTCCACTTTGTGCTTGCCCACTTTGTACTTGGCCACTATGCACTTGCTTGCCTTGTGCTTGCCAATCTTGTGCTTGCTCACTTTGTGCTTGCTTGCTTTGTGCTTGCCCACTTTGTGCTTGCTCACTTTGTACTTGCCTGCTTTATGCTTGCCTGCTTTGTGCTTGCCTGCCTTGTGCTTGCCCATATATTTGTGCTTGTAGTTTATTTACTTGTACTTGTTTATTAATTTGCTCTTGTTCATTATTATCTTGTGTTTGTAGTTCATAGAATTGCACCTGTTCATTAGCTTGTACTTGTCATTCATCAGCTTGTGCTTGTAGTTTATTGGCTTGTGCTTGTAGTTCATTAGCTTGTGCTTGTAGTTCATTGGCTTGTACTTGAAAAGATGGTATGTTTAATATTTTTCAAGACAATGTAGAGTTGACATTTCAATATATCAATTTGGTGTTTCATAGTTTTTATATTTGCAAGAACAACAATTATATTTTATAATACAATTCTAGTAAAAGAAATGCCTGCAGTCAAGTAAAATTACTGATTGCAAAAGATTAAAAGAAATTTTACAGCTACATATTTTGCAAATATTAGGGTCTCTACATTTCACAGAAATTAAATTATCATTCTTGAAGTACAATTTACAAGCAAATTTTTTCAGTTTGTCTATAATTAGTAAGAAAAATAGTTTTACTATGTATTCATCCAATTGCTTTATAAATATATTAAAAAAAATAGATTTAAGAATTAGTAATCAAATAATATAAACTTGTAAATATAAATTTTATTATGAGTTTAATTTTAACTAGCTCATTTCTGTTACTATAAAAAACTATAATATAAGTATGTTTCTTACTATAAGATTAAATTTTGGCTATCATCATTACTATTACTATAGAAAAGTATAATGTTATAATAATTTAAAAATGAAATTATAAGTGAGTTATTAGCAGCTATTCAAATTCGTAGATTATTCTGAATAATTTTTTTTATGTTATATACTTTTAGTGATGACAAAATTTCAGAATTCAATGTATCACAAATTGACTATATTATTAAAAATATAACTGTATAATAATAATATATGTAGTAATTAATTGCTTATATAAATTAGTTATGTCAATTTTAAAATATCAAATTTTTAGATTATATAT